CTTCTCCTTTGGATGTCAGTTTTCACTTCTCATAATCTATATTTGGAGTCCCATGTCCGTTATTCAAATAGAACACATATTTCCTATCACTGATGTAAACATCTTTCAAGCCCTTTTCTCTTGCCAGTCCAGGGTGGAAAGCCGATGGCTCTTGCAAGCAACTATAATTTGGAGCAGTTAAGACCCAACAGCCTGGGGCACCTGGGTGGCTCAGTCGGTTAAGTGGCTGCCTTTAGCTCAGGTCATGATCCCAGGGTCGTGGAATTGAGCCCCACATTGGGCTCCCTGATCAGCAGAGAGCCTGTTTCTCCCTCTCCCTCTGTCTGCCGCTCTGCCTACTTGTGCTCTCTCTCCCTCTGTCAAATAAATAAATAAATAAAATCTTAAAAAAAAAAAAACAAAAACCCAACAGCCTATGGGAACAAGTGGATTATCTCTCAAGCTATCTTAGCTTCTGCATACTGTAATTTCCAGATGATTCTGTGCCAGATGAGGGTCAAGGCCATAACTGGTCTATACTACCTGGGACTTCCCTAGGAATGTTTACTTGCCTTAACTGTGGTTGTCATATACTCTTCTGAAGAAATGAGATGCAAAAGTATAAACAACAGACTCAGAATTCCCAGTTTTTCAAGCATATGGTGGTTGGTTTTGTTCTGCCTTTCCCTTTCATTACAGCTCATATTATTACTGGTATCATACTGTGTAGTCATCATGCTCAAATACCCGGGAGCTTTGGTTGAATATTGGTCTTAGGATTCAGTTCCACGAGACTTCCAGATTGCTGAGATGATTACCTATGTATGCTCAGATGTGTGTTACAGAATGATCAATCATGGCTGTGTGGAGGGTGAATTGGCAAAGGGGAGTGGGTGGAGATGAGGGGTTGATTAGGAGTCCATTGTAACTTTCCAAGTAAGAGGTAACAGGGCCTGAGTTAGAGCAATGAGAGTAGAAATGAGACTGTGGTAATGGAGATATTTTGGAGGTGGAACTGACAGTATTTGGGAATGGATTGCATGAAAGGGTGTAAAGTAAAGGGGAGCTGAGGATACCTCTGCTATTACATGATACAATGGAACAGGCTGAGGATTGGGTTTGGGACAGATACTGATGAGTTCATGTTAGGTATGGTGACTTGCAGTCTAGCTTTGTCTGCTATCGAGGGAATGTCCAGAACATGGGACTCTCAGAACTAAAACCAAGTAAGTCCTGGGCAGACCAGGACAAGTTCATTGCACTAAGTTTAGGACACGTTGGATTTGAGGTGTTTGCAGATAGTGTCCAGGAGGTGGTTGGGCATGTGGGAGTGGCGTTAGAAAGGACACCAGAGTCGGAGGTATAGTTTGGGAAGTTGCTTGTAACAGAAAATGGGTGAGCCCACAGGAGTGGGTAGGATAACTAAGGGAGAACACACGGCATGAGATTATACCTACCTCTTATCCCCTGTGGAACTCTAGATCCTTGTGAATGTGAATGAATGAATCAAATAATTAACGAAGAGTAAGAGGTGACTGAGAACGAGACAGCAGGCCACATTTTGAGGCACACCTACCTATACAGGTGGGCTGTGGAAAGAAATCCAAGACTGAGCCACAAGAGGAGAAAAGAGAACCAGAACGGATGACAGTGTCAAAAAAGTCAAGGAGGAAGAGAATTTCAGAGGTATGTGGGTTAGGAAGATTAATATTGAGGATAGGCAGTTGGCTCAGGTAATTAATATGTCACTGACCACCTACAAGAGAACATTTTCTGTGGATCCTAGAGTCTGTGGCATCCTGAAATCAGATTATCAGATGCTGGTGAAATAGGAAAAAAAAAAAAAAGAAAGGAAGTATGGGTAGCAGAGATTCATCTTTCTTTCAACAATGAGGGGAAAAGAAAGAGTAGTTTTCTCCTTTAAATACCAGCTCAAGACTCAGCTCTTCTTAAGATTCCCTGAACAATTGCCATGCCTGCTGTTCTACCCCTTTTCAAAGATCCTACAGCACTAGGGGCTCTGTAGGAAAAGCATATTAGCTATGTGTGATATACTTCTTTATTTTCTGGTAACTTCTAGTGTGCTTGTTTGGTCTTCCTATTAAACTCTAAGCTTCCTGAGGGGCAGAGACCACAGCTTAGATCTACCATCATGCCAACAAGAAAGGCCTTTAAGAATATTTGCTTGTTGTTAGGATGGGAAGGATGGAAAGATTCTCCAGTTCACATTTTCTCAACTTCCACAGTGTTCGCATTTGGGGCTGGATAAGTCTTTGTTCTGGGAGACTGTCCCGGGCACTGTTTGATGTTTGGTCGTATTCCTGGCCTCTACCCACTAGTTGCCAGTGGCACTTCCCTATCACCCTCCTATAGTTGTGACAATTGAAAATATTCCCAGACATTACCAAATGTTTCCCCGTATATGTGTGTGTGTGTGTGTGTGTGTGTGTGCATGCATACACACACACACATGCACACATGCAGGCACAGGAATCAACTCAGTAGACACCCACTGCCTAGGTGACTGGAGCCTAGCTTAGTTACCCCCTTGTCCATCAGCAAGGGCAGTCCAAAGCCATTTCCCATCGAGAAACATGGGTGTCCAGTTCACAGCCTCCAGAAAGGAATGTATAACCTTCCCTGGTTACTTGCGTTCAGTTCTGAGACCCTTATACTCATTTCTTTCTCTCCCTCTCCCTGGAGTGAGTTAATGCCTCAGTACGTGCACTTAAACACAAAGTGCTGAAATGATGCCAACATGCTTCCCTTATGATCCCGAATATCAAAGCAGAGCCACAGAGACCTCTAATTACAGCAGCAGTTTGTAATGTTTCTACAACTGTAAGGAAGGCATTTATTAATTTTTCACAAAGTGTAACTAGTAGTTAATAATGCTTTTCTTTTCAAAGTATCTTTCAAATATTATATTATAACTCTGTTGGTACCCTCCTCAGAGATTGGCCAGAGGGTGGGGAAATTGGAGAAAGAGAAAATGTATAAAATAGACGTACAGAACGTTTCAGTGCCTGAGCAGAGTGGAGAACCCAGGAGTCCTGGGCTCTCATTCTTTAGGTTAAACCTGAAGTGTCTTCCTGACATTTAAAAAAAAACACTATATTTATTTATTTGAGAGAGAGGCAGAGGGAGAAGGAGAGAGAGAATCCAAAGCAGACTCCACATTCAGCATGAAACCTGATGCTGGGCTCAATCTCATGACCCTGAGATCATGACCTGATCTGAAATCAAGAGTCAGATGTTTAACCGATTGAGCCACCCAGGCACCCCTCTTCCTGACATTTTCATTTATCATCCCAGTGGGGCTTGTGGTTCCTAAAAGACATTTCATTGGGTTGAGCTGGACTATGGGTGAGAATAAAAAAACCACTCTGATATCTTGCCTTGTTCTACCACCATTTTCCAGACTTCTGAGGTTCCTTGGTAGTGCCCTGTAAATCCTCCTACTGTTGCTCTATGGCAAAGTCCAATAAACCAGTCAGGATACCTTTATTGAGTGCATGATAAATACCCTTAAGATACCAAAAAGTGGTGTGGATAAAAGGAGTAAGGTTGCACAACGTGTAGCTCTTTCTTCCTGGTTCTTAATGGAGCATGTTAATTTATTGAACTAAGAATTTTCTGTATATTCTTGGATTTTAGCCCCATGACAGCTCTGTGGAATAGGTATTATTAGTATCTGGCCTCTTTTCATGCCAAAGGCATATGGCTACAAAGTTGTAGAGCTGTGATTCCAGCCCATTCTATATAACTCCAAAGTCTATATTTTTATCCACTATGCTAATGGGATTCGTTTATCTGGTCCACTTCTTGTCCTTTTTTTTTTTCAAATGAGTAAGCTATTCCATTTTATGAAAGGAAGAACTGTGGACCAGAAATTATAAATGAATTGCCCAGGATGACGTGGTGATGCTCGTGGTGATGATAGGGGTAGGAGTAGAAGAAGCTAGAAAACACATTTTCTTCCTTTTATTGTGTGAGCTTTTTTCCCTTATCGCATTATTTCTAGTTTAGAAGACAAGACACCTCTCATTCTAGGAAACAATGAAAGGACTAGAAAAAGAAGTCTGCAGTTAATTGTGCGTTATTGAATTTCTGAATTCTGTGATACTGACAAATCAGATGATGGAGCCATTTTCTTTCCCAAAGATATTGGAGGTCATTAGCTATAGTTAGCCTGCCAACAGGCTTTGAGTGGGGAGTACATTGTATTCCTTCAGGATCTCCCAGGAGGATTGAAGAATATATTGAATATATAAAATAGAGAAGAGAAAATATTGAAAGAATATATACTACACACCTTGACCAGGGAACTTGGTTAGAGAATCTGGCTGCCACAAAAGGAGAGGTTTTCTATAACATTATTAAGTTGCTTCTGAGTCACTTCGAGGACCAAGGAGGAGAAGAAATGCAGAACCAATTGGCATCTTCCAGGATTTAACTGAGTGATGGTTCCAAGTCTAGAATAACTTTGGGAAGTCCTTGACCTTGAAGCAGGTTGTCTTCCTATTGTCAGTTGGAATTCCCGTGTGCAATAAACTCCCTTTCATCATCAGGTCAAGGTGAATAAATCAGAGGGATGGGACTAGTCTCTTGTTTCCAAGAGACTTAATTTTATTTTTGTTTGATATAGATAGCATATTTACATGCAAGAATGATCTGTTTTGTTGGCAGCATGTGGGCTATTTAGCATTATCATTTCTAAAAACCCTAGGAATTACTGTAAATCCCTGAGATTTTTGTTACATTCAGTAGTCACAGGCCTTCTGGTTATTCCTACCCTTTCTCAGTATCTTACAAATCTCCATAAAGTATCCTTTTTCATTTGTTTGCCTCTGTTCCCACAAAATTGGTGATAGCCCAAAGGTTTTATACAATTGTAACCATCATTTTATTTTCGGCCATTGTCCGTGCCACACCCCTTGAGGCTTATCACCGGATTTTCACTGCCCCCTTCCCATAAAAACCATATCCCTGCCTGCCCCATCATCCAGAAGCAGGCAGAACTGAAGAAGGACTAAGCTGGTGATGAGCGGCTTTAATAGAGGAATTTGAAGATCCTTAAGCCTCTTTCCTTTGTTTCCTGAGATTTCTAAGGCCAGACATCAGTCCTGGAGTGTGGTGGCCCTGGAAAGCCCTTCGGCTCTGGAGTAGGTCAGTTCTGGGTTGGAATCCTGTCTCTGCCGCTTACAGCCAGGTGATCTTTAGCAAATCTCTGTTTCCTTCTTTTTAAAGTGAGGATGATATTCATTTGTTGCTGCTGTCCGTTTTTATGACCACCTGGCCATTTGCCCCTGAATTCCTACACCTATTCTTTCATTTAGAGTTGTGCCCATTGCTTTTGACTTTGCCCTGTGATTTTGTAGATTGTTTTATTTTTAAAAATTTTTAAAAGATTTTATATATTTACCTGACACACACACACACACACACACACACACACACAGAGCGAGAGAGAGCGAGCACGCACAGTTAGGTAGAGCAGCAGGCAGAGAGGAGGGAGAAGCAGACTCTCCTATGAGCAGGGAGTTGGACATGGTGCTCAATCTCAGGACCCTGGGATCGTGACCTGAGCCAAAGGCAGATGCTTAACCAACTGAGCCATCCAGGCATCCCTGTAGATTGTTTTAATTTAGGCTTCAACTAATGGCTGTGCAGACCTTCCCTTGGTTTTGTCTGTAGAATGAAAACTCCACGAGGGCTAGAGCTGTGGTTATTTGTGCTTATCATCATATCGCCAGGCCCTAGGACCATATTTGGAACAAAGCAGGTGAACAATACATTTTAATGGGATGAATGAATGAATGAATGTACAGATTTCCTGATCTGGTGCCCAGATCAGTTCCTTTGACCTACTACTACACACAGCCTAATGTAAGAAATGATTATATCCTACAAGAACAGGCCCTATTCAGGCACTATCCTTTGAGGAGGGCTATTTGCCCACTTTGCCCAGAAGAGTATCCACAAATTTCAGTCAGTTCATTCAGGGTTGATCCTGAGTCATCCTGTACTTGAAGGGGTTAATAGGACTCTACAGGCTTATTTAAGTTGATAAGGATGACGAAAATGATTAGTGAAGCCAAAATAGACAAATGTTCTGAGTTCAGCCTTATGAAGCTTATACTCCTTTTACTGCAGTTATGGTATGTTAGCTATCTTTCTTCTTCTTCTTCCTTTCCTCTTCCTCCTCCTCCCCCTCCTTTTCCACCTCCTCCTCCTCCCCTTCTCCTCCTCTTCCTCCTCTTCCTTCTGATGGGAGGTCAGGAGTGGGGGAGGGACAGCCAATGTGGGGCTCTGTCTCACAGCCCTGCAACCATGACCTCAGACAAAATCAAGAGCCAGACACTTAACTGACTGAGCCACCCAGGCACCCTGCTATCTTTCTTTTTAATTCCCAATTGTACATTATGGGAAAAAGCTGTAGCTATATCTCCTGCCCTTGGGAAGCCATTCTTCTAGATCTGTTATAAACTTGTTACAAAATGCAGGTGTCCTGGAAGCAGTAGAATGACCATCTTGACTGAATGAAAAGATTTACTTCCAGGTGGAGTGTCATCTGAAAGAGTTTGCCCTGGTTTCTTGGGGGTTATCAATTCAGTGATTGCTTCCTTTGTGACACTAAATACATCTGGCTGCAGTGAGGCTAGAAGTAGCTTATTTCCTGTTGCAGTTGGATAAGGTGGGATTATGTCCACTCCTTTTTACGACCCAGAGGGCTGCCTGAAACTGCAGGGTAACTGAGGTAATGGCACATGTAAACTAGGGGAGGTGAGGGCTAAAAGAGTTTTTGATTGAGGTTACTCTTAGTAAAGAAGCCTTAGGCATATACAGTCCTATTAACTGCAATTTAGCCAAGACCTAAGCAGTGGTTAATTAAGGCAAACCCAGGGTCTATCCAGGAGCACAGTCTAGATAAGGCCTAGCTGGGGCTGAAACCCAATGAAGCCATGGCCCTGGCATAATTAGGCCTGGCCAGGGCACAGCCAGGTTCAAGGCCTAGTTAAGGCCTAGTCATCCCTATTGAGGGCTAGTCAGCCCAGTTAAGATGTAACCAGAGCCTAAGCCTACTTATGGCTTAGTTGCCCAGTTAAAGTCTAGATAACACAGTTAAGGCCTTGCCAGGGCCTAAACATAGTTAAGGTCTAGTCAGAGTCTGGTTAAGACGTAGCCAGGGCCCTAAATGTAGTTAATGACTAGTCAGAGTACAGTTAGACTCAGCCAAAGCGGGTGTAGCACCTATCAGAGTTTTCTTAAGGTTCTGCCAGGTCCTAAGCTTAGTGTATGTTTAGTCAGAGACCAGTTAAGCCCAAAATCTCCTTAAGTTTTAGTCAGAAACTACTTAAGGTAGATCCAGGCCCTAAGCTTATTAAATTCTAGTCAGAGCCTGGTTAAGGCTTGACCAGTATCTTGTTAAGGTATAGCTATAGGTGTAAGCCTAAATAAAAGCTAACTGACAGGGTTAAGATCCCATCAGGTATGATAAGGACAAGCCATAGTCTAAACCTAGTTTATGCTCAGTCAGAGACCAGTTAGGGCCAAAATCTACTTAAGTTTTAGTCAGAAACTACCTAAGGTGGATGCACGACCTACACTTATAAAACCTAGTCAGAGCCCTGTTAAGGCCTAGCCAGAGTCTTGCTAAAATATATCAAGGCCTATGCCTATTTAAAAGCTAACCAACATGGTTAAAATCTCATCAGAGTATTTTAAGGACTAGCCAAGTCCTAAGCCTAGTTTATGTTTAATCAGAGACCAGTTAGGGCCAAAATCTACTTAAGTTTCAGTTAGAAACTACTTGAGGTAGGTCTAGGACCTAAGCTTGTTAAATTCTAGTCAGAGTCTGGTTAATCTCTGGCCAATATCTCGTTAAGGTATGGCTAGGGCCTAGACTGGTTAAAAGCTAACCAACATGGTTTAGATCTCATCAGGGTTAGGGTTAGGGTTAGGGTCCAGGGCCTAAGCTTACTCAAAGCTAGTCAGAACCTAGTTAAGGCTTGGCTAGAGTCTTGTTAAGGTATTCCCAGAACCTTAACCTAGTTACAAGCTAGTCAGCCCAACTGAGGCCTAACTGGGGCTAAAGCCTAGTTCAGGCCTAGTCAGAGCCTAGTGAAAGTGTAGCCAGAACCTACGAGTCTAGTTAATGTATAGCAAGGGCCCGAGACTAGTTAAGGGATAGTTTGTCCAATTAAGACCTAATTAGTTAATTTAAGGCCCAGCTAGAGCCAAAGCCCTGTTAAGGCTTCATCACCCAGTTAAGGCATAGTCAGGGCTCAGCTAAGGCTTAGTCAGAGTTCAGTTCAGGCCTAGTCAGAGCCTGAGACTGCTTAAAGCTTATCTAGTTCATATAAGGTCTAACCAGGGTCTAAACATAGTTTTGGCCTCGCTAGAACCCATTTAAGCCCTAGCCAGGGTCAAAATGTAGTTAAGGTATAGTTGGAGTCTCAATAAGTCCTAGCTGTAGCCTAAATCTAGAGAACCCATAGTCAGAATCTAGTTAGGGGATATCAGGGTTCTAAGTCCAGTTAAGACTTAATCAACCCAGTTAAAGTCAGTCAGCTCAGTTAAGGCCTAATAAGTTCAGCTGAGTCCTGGTCAGGGCCCAAGACTAGTTAAGGTCTATTTGAATCCCAATTAAAGTCTAGCCATGGACTAAGCCTAGCCAGGACCCTAGGTCTAGAGAAGGTATAGATAGCCAGAGTCTCATTTAAGGTGTAACAAGGACCCAAGTCTGTTTAAGGTCTATTCAGCCCAGTTAAGGCCCAGAAGGGGCTAAACTTAGTTATGCCCTAGTCAGACTGTAGTTAAGTCCTAGCCAGAGCCTAAGACCAGTTAATGCCTGGTTAAAACCTAGTTAAGGTGAAGCCAGGGCCTTACATCTAGTTAAGTCTTCACATCTAGTTAAGGCCTCATCATCCCGGTTAAGGCCTGTTTAGGCCCTTCACTTTGTTAAGGACTAGTCAAGACTAGGCTAACCAGCTTATTCCAGTTTTCCCAAGACTTTCCATATTTAGCACTGAAAGTTCTGGGTCCTGGAGAATCCCTCGGTCCCTGGCAAACCAGACTGACTGGACACTCTAGTCAAGGCCTTTTAAAGAAAACTTTTCTTTGCCTTGGAGCTTAAAAAGCACATTTATAGTCTATAGTTTCTTTTATAGTTTATGAAACACGTTTTCAACATTATTTCATTGGATTATTATATCTATTTGAGATAGGTGTTACCATCCTCCCTGATGTGCAGATGAATAAACTCAGGTTTAGAGAGAAGTGCCTTCCTTAATGCCATATGGTCATTGTCAAAGGTAGAGTTTAAACCAAAATTCAGAATGTTTGAATTCAAAAGCCATGCTGTTATTTTTTAAGCTACAGTAAAGGGGCCTCTCCCCACAATTAAAAGTTGTCGAAATTACATAAGTAATACTTGCTCAAGGTCTTACCATCACCCTATTTTCAGACCAGGAAAAGTGTTACGGCATACTTAAGTGACCTGCTGAAGGTAAGAAAACTTTTCAACTTAAACTCAGGTTTCTTTGTCTCCAAATCCCTTATTTTTCCCCTTTGAAGAGAATCTCTTCCCTCCATCTTGCCTACTTGCTCAGTGTCATATACTTCAGTACATGTCTGTGTAGCTGAGACTGTTTCTGTGTCTGTAGCTTTCAGAGCTGTTTCCATGCATACGTTATCTGAAGTCCATCAGGCATTTGGTAGACTGCACTTGCGTTGACACTTCTGTTTGCAGCCTGAGGTTTATCTACTGGCCTGATGCTCGTTGTCTCATTAGGGGAAGTCTGTTGAGCCTGGCAGCAGAGCTGACTTGATACTAGAGTCAAACCTCAACCACTTGATTTTCTGTGATCAAAGGATGAAGACATTGAAGAAAAACCTGGTCTCCTTAGGAATTCTTGGGAGAGTTACTGGATACATCCATGTTATAATGACATTTGGGGGACCAGCGAAAGAAATCAGGCCTTCCTCTCTGTTACTGTGGATTCCATTGCCAGAAGGCACCAAGAACTTGGCTTGCCTTTTCCTGGCTGTGCCATTTCTTTTGCCTCCTGTAAGCTTACCAGGGGTGACAGGTGTCTCTGTTAAAAAGCCTGTATGTAAATATAGCTATATCTTCCACTATGTTATCCCGAGGACAAAATAGTTGCCACCCCTGCAGAATGTAGCAGCTTCTGGATTGGATGCCAATGG